CCAAACAACATGGCCTATCCTCTCTCTACAAATTCTCGTTGGATCATCGACGATAAAGGGCAAAGAGTGAAGCTGGCGTGTGTGAATTGGCCATCACATTTGCAGCCTGTAGTAGCGGAAGGGCTCAGCAAGCAGCGGGTCGATGACTTGGCCAAGAAGATAGTGGCAATGGGTTTCAATTGCGTTAGGTTAACTTGGCCACTTGATTTGGCTACAAATGAGACATTAGCTAATAATGTTACTGTGAGACAATCTTTTCAAAGTCTTGGTCTTCATGATGACATTTCTGGTTTCCAAACCAAGAACCCATCTATGATTGATCTTCCCCTCATTGAAGCTTACAAGGTATGATAGTATCTAATTTCTTGAATGTCTTTTGTTCGGATAAAAGAAAGAATTACCAAATCTAGCTAATAATTTATGCTTACTAGCTAAAGTTGTTTTAAATTATTAAAACTAAAACTCGTATTTATATAATTTTATATATTAAAAATATGAGTTTGATAAAAATTCTTTTAAATAACAATCACTAGAATTTTTCGTAATTTTTTTTACTCTTGTTCTCATGAATTTACATCGGTATACTAGCTAATTAATTTAGACCGAACCAAAATCTGTGGTTTTGTTAGTGTTTGCATATATAAATCTCATAGTGTTCCATCAACAAAAGTAAAATATAATGGTTCGGATATCCTTCCAAAAATCAAATATATAATAGATTTAGGGCCCTAGATTTAGATCATAAAATAAACTAAAAAGGTGATATATAGGGTTTGTGAAAAAAGTTTACATAGATGTGGATCCAATAATTATAGTTCTTAGAACGGTTGGATTTTATTTAAAACCGAATCTCATATCCTGTGTATTTTACCCTAAAAATCTCTCATTTCCTTTTATTCTTTTGCAGAATGTGGTAGCTAAGTTGGGAAACCAAAATGTGATGGTGATATTAGACAACCACGTGACCAAGCCAGGATGGTGTTGTGGCTACAACGATGGCAACGGGTTCTTTGGCGACACTTTCTTTGACCCTGCCTCATGGATCGCCGGTTTGACCAAGATAGCCACAATTTTTAATGGTGTTTCCAATGTCGTTGGCATGAGCCTCAGAAACGAACTTAGAGGACCTAAACAAAACGTCGACGACTGGTTCAAGTACGTATATTTATTATTTATACGATCTTAATTTGTATACGTATTCGCACTCGAAT